CTTCCTCCTCCTCCTCCTCCTCCTGCTGCTGCTGCTCCTCCTCCTCCCCACCTCATCTCAGCCATCACTATCTCCTACCGACCATCAAGCTCTGTTTAACATCCGTCAAAACCTCTTCGACCTCCCAGGCTCCACCTTCTTCTCCTCCTGGGACTTCTCCTCAGATCCCTGCATCAGCTTCTCCGGCGTCACCTGCTCCCCCGACGACAACAACATCAATCTCCTTCGCATCTCCGTCCTCACCCTCGGCACCGGCCTCACAGACTCCCCCGGCCTCGGAGGCATCCTCCATCCCTCCATCTCCAATCTTACTTCCCTTACAGAACTCATCATCTTCCCCGGCCGCATCTCCGGCGAACTTCCTTCTAACCTCGGCTCCTCTCTCCCCCTGCTCCGCCTCCTCTCCATCTCCTCCAACCTCCTCCTCGGCCCCATCCCACCTTCCCTCTCAAACCTTCCTTTCCTCCATACCCTCGACCTCAGTCAAAACCAGCTCCAAGGCTCCCTCCCTCCCCCTCTCTTCACCTCCAACCCCAGCCTCAAAGTCCTCATCCTCGCCTACAATGGCGGTCTCTCCGGCTCCATCCCATCTCAACTCTCCTCCTCCCCCAACCTTCTCCACCTCGACCTCCGCGGCAATTCATTCACCGGCCCCCTGCCCCCTCTCCCTCCCACCCTCCGCTTCCTCTCCGTCGCCCTCAACTCCCTCTCCGGTCCCCTTCCCCCCACCTCCCCTGCTCTTGAGTTCCTCGACCTCTCCAACAATGTCTTCTCCGGCGAAATCCCACCGGCAATCTTCTCCCTTCCCATGCTCTCCTCCATCCTCCTTAACTCCAACAACTTCTCTGGAAGCTTATCCCTCCCATTTTCCTCCGACACTCCGCCTAAATGGGCGGTGGTGGATGTCAGCCACAACTCGCTCGCCGGAGAGCTTCCGGTTGGTCTGGCTGCCGCCTGTAGTCTATATCTAAACGACAACCATTTTACAGGTTCGGTGCCGGTAGAGTACATGGAGAGCCTTTACAATGGAAGCATGAGTACTCTCTACGCTCAGAATAATTTCCTCAGGGCATTCTCGCCACCACCGGATTCGGTCGGAATCGAGGTTCCGGCCTCTGTTTCGCTCTGTCTCTCTTACAACTGCATGGTGACTCCATCAATGGCCACCACCGGCTGCCCGGCCGGCGTGCGAGCTCACCTCTCCCGACCAGCTTACCAGTGCACAGTGAGACGGCCGTGGCAGCGTCGGTGAGCGGTGGTGACTGAAGATAAGTTCTCCCATTATCAAAAAAAAATTTAGGTGCGAACTCGATTATATTTTGATTATATTAATTATATTGATATAATCAAAATACAATAAAATTTGAATTCTGTAAATTTTATAAGATATTTCTTTTGAAGTTTAAAAGGCAGCTAACAAAACTGCCAAAAGAATATATATCTTATAAAATTTTTTAATCCATGTATTATGAATTGGAGAAGGGATCCGGCCGTTAAGGTGAGAGTGAAAATTGGTTTTACTTGTTTTTGAGCTTTTTTCAATTCCTTCGATTTGAAAAGCAGTAAATATAACGGTCGGATGGAATTGTGTTGTCTGTGTGGTGCGATGTGAATGATTGTGCCCTTTGTACCTTAAGATAAAAAATTATATAGCTTTTTGCATTTGATTTACTATAAATTTTAATTGTTGACATAACAAGGGATTTACTTAAATATTTTAATTATTTATATATTTATATATCTATCTTTAATTTATATATTTATTGATGTCATTCTACTCTCTCTCTATCTCTCTCTCTCTCTCTCTCCTTCCTCTCTCTCTCTCTCTCTCTATATATATATATATATATACATGTGTTATGCTTTAAATATGTTAATAATATGCTTCATTTAGAAATTTGAATGTTATGTAAATAAATATAAAAATGTAAGTTTTTGTGGTATACATGTAAGCCCACTTAAAACTAATTTGATAAATATATGTGTCAGCTTTCTAGTAAGCCAATGAGAAAGCCAGCAAAAGAGAATCCATAAACAAATGAGTTATCTTGGAAGAGTGATACACAAGTGATGCATTGATGCAATATCATCCAAGCTCAAGGCACCAACTCACCATTATCATGTGACATTATTATATTGAGTCCTTTGAATCATGGTCAAATAAAACACAAACACAAACACTCACACACAACAAACAATTAAGATCACAACTTTTGCCACTTTGTAAGTATCCATCTACCTTAAAACTTCATTAAATGCTTAAAATCATAGAAAAGAAAAAAAATTTTAAGGCCCGTAGGGCCAGACCAGCCCTGGCTATAGAGGGGGTGGATAGGGGTGGGCATGGATATGACTTTTCAAATAAAAATGGAACGACCAGCCCGAGCCTGCTTTGATTGGTCAAATCATGAATAAACCCGACCGACCCAACGCCCAGATTTAATTAAGATGGTCAAATTTTCTTTCGTGTAAGTGGTCAAATTTTCTTTCTTTGTTAGAGCGTGCAAGTTTCTGTGATAACAAATTTTTCATATTTACTTTACAAACATGCAAAATCTTATTTAACATCAAAATCTTTTTTATTCATTAAGTTAATGTTTTGAGAAATAATTTTTAATTTCCATAATTGCTTAGATAGCATGATTGTTAAAGCAAATTATTTATAAATTTTTAAAAGTTTTAATTTTAAAAATAATTAAAAAAAATTCTCAGAATAGTCTTATAACACAACTTCTAGGATCATTGAGGCCTTCTCCATAAATTGTTTTATAAAAATAGTTATGGCATTGTTGTGAAATAAATCTTTTAGAAGTCCGTAATTATTTTTAAATTTATTTTTTCTAGAAAGCCTCAATAATAAGAAAAAATATGGCATCAGGACTCAGCATGATAGAGTTACGTTCGGAGTCCAATGAAATCATGTTATGTGGAGGTAACAGAGAAAAAAATAAAAATCAGCCTGATAACACAGCGTAATATTTCCCCTGTGTTATTTCGTGTTATTCAGGTGTTATTGTGTTCTCAAAATATTCCCGGTGTTATAATAACACAATAACATATCAATAACACTTGAATAATACACAATAACACTTAAATAACATGAGATAAATATTCTCTTTTGTTACCTGACAGATTTTTTTTTTCTGTCACCGCCACATAGCATGATTTCATTGGACTTCACACCTAACTCTACGTGTGGAGTCCTGATGCAATATTTTCTCCAATAATAAAGTCTTTATTCCATATTTATAATATTTTCCTTTTATAGAAATTTAAAAAATAAAAATTAAAAATCTTTATCAAATAAAATTATGACAATGTTGTTTAAGAAAATAAAAGAAGATTTGCATAACATAACACTTAATTCTTATGCATTTACATATCTAATTCCTATACTTCTATTTGTTTGCATGAAAATTTCACTTTTTAAAAGTTAAAAAAGTGATTTTTGATATGAGATCAAAGATTTGAGCTATAAAAATACAAAAAAAAGGTAGATGTTAGATATGTAAATAAATAGAAATATAGTGGCACCGCTCCAAAAGAGGAGGGAAACAAATAAGGTGGGGCTCCCAGTCTCCCCCACCTCTCAAATTTTGTAAATGAATTCAAATTTTCCATTTGAACACATCTAACAAACAGTTTAATACTTGATTTTGATGAACAGAACTGTGAAACTTTGCTGGAATAATAGAATTCAGTACTAAAAATAGCAATAATTCAGCACTGTCGCCTTTGATCTGTGGAGAGCAGCAATGATGAAGAACAGGGCATTAATAATGGCAATGTTTCTGAGGCTGCCAGCCATGGTTGTTTGGAAGCAAGCAAAGAAAGGGCGCTCGTTTGGGCGCCGTCACATCGTTTTGAAGTTTGAATCTCTTTGTTTTGATCTTTCTTTTATATAAATATCACTATTCCTTATCCTAAATTTGGACTTCAGTTCATTTTATGTCATCTTTATGTCTTGCATTCCTAAGGAACTGCATATGTGACAACTAAACTTTATCTTTTTTACATTTGTAAAACCCAAATAATTTGTAAAATATCAAAAATATCCTTATTTTAGTTTTAAGATGTGAAATACATATTTTAGTTCATGGTTAAGGTGGGATATATATAAAAATTGAAGTTTAGGGGATAGATGTGTAAATAGATAAGAATTGAGTGGTCTATGGGAATCTTCCTATAATTTTAATAAGTATTAAACATGCGAATTAGTGGCATGAAATTGCAAGGAGTTATTGCTCTTTAGATTGGCTATAACTTTAATTGATGCTTAAGGATAGGATTATGCTTGTTGATATTGCCTAAAAGGTTGATGCGCGTAGTTGTTCTATGTTTTCGCCTATTAGAATGATGCATGTCACCATTGATATCAAAATTGATGCTCGCCTATTTTGTTGTATGCCCACGTTGATAATGCTATCGCATGTCATCATCAATAAAGTCGATACATATCGTCAAGAGTCACTCTAATAGTTACATTAACGTTGTGATGTATACTGATTTTTTGGGTCTTCAGTCTCCTCAACTAGAAGAAAAACTATTGAGCTAATTTAAAATGATATCTCAATACTAATTCCAATGTCTCAATATTTTTCTAACTTCCACCATAGAATTTAACCTTCATAATTTCTATATATTGTATTGTAATAGTTTTATTATTATTACTATTTGTACACCAAATATGTTGATATCTCATGGCTAGGTCTGTTACCGATTCAATTTTGAGTCTAGCCATGATTTCGAGTCAAGCTGGGATCAGCTCGAAATCGGCTTAACTAAATTTACTGCAGCTCGAAATAGACTTGTGGCTCATTATATTTGATTTCGAGCAGAGCTAGATCGAAATTGAATCGAGCTCGATCTTGCTACAAATTGAAATGAACTGGCTCAATTTGAGTTATTTGGATCCGTTTTTGCTTGGAATTTGCTCGCTCCGGCTCAAAATTGAAGTTGACCTGCTCAAACTGAGTTAATTGGATATGTTCCAACTCGAAATAGACTTGAATTGGCGAGTAGCTCGTTATATTCAATTTTACCTAGAATTATATATATGATTTTTATAAAGAAAAAATATTAAGAGCTGATCTCAAGTCAATTCATGTCAATACATATAAGACTCGAAATCGGCTCGAAAAAAATTTAATTCGAAGTTTTGGCTCATAGATGTACTTGATTATTTCGATCCGATCAAAAGTCACAACTACATGTCCCCAATTTTCTTTTAATTTATTTTAATAAATTAGATGCATAAATATTCTGAGTTGCTTTTAAAGAGGATATTAACGATCAAATAATTATTGTAAATGAGTTAATTTTAGACATGGCATATGTTTAATGTAAACTTAGCCCCTCTCTACTTTTCTCAAATAAATAGTTCAGAGAGTATAATTAATTTTGTTATTTAAATCTAAAATGTATAGTTTTAAATGTAATCTATACTTTTTCATGATGCTTCTGCTGTTTGTATCAGTACCATTTCAACTCATTTTCCTCTAGCTTAGAATCTACACCATGAAAAAGTGGTGGTCATTGGAAAAAAAATTTATTAATATTTTATAAGAAAATTTACATATACACGCAACAATTCTTATATATTTGCATGTGAAAGAAAGAAGCGGGTTGTGATTGATGATAATCGGCGGCAACCAGTGAGGGATGGTCAGCAACGATCGTCAATGAGCTTTTCTAAGTTTTAGTCTTTTTCAGGCTTGCAATTCTCTCCATCCCTCTAATGAGAGGGTTGGGGCTCTATTTATCGAGTCGGAATTGCAATTAATGAAGAAATATTAATCACTTTGATCGGACGACTTGAAAAGTTTCTCTTGATCAGACGACATTTGATGGACTTTTGAGTGTCAATTGATACGCTGCCATGAAATTTCAATAATTCAACATGAATCTCAAGGCATGACACAAATTTTAAGGCGATCTTTTGATCAAAAAATAATCAAGCTTTAATTAAACTTTATCCAGAGCTTTGATTTCAGCAAACTTATAGTCAAACTGGTCGGCTCAACAAGACGGACCCAATGATATTAAAATTGGTTTAATCTGAGTCAAATCATGTTGAGATCAAGAAATTAAATCACTTTTGAAATCTTTTTGAGCATATTAAGAAGGTCAAATGAATGTTGATATGGTATGCTTATAGTCAAATCGAACATCTCAACAAGACGAATCTAACGAGTCCAAAATCGCTTAATTTTGACATTGTTAAGACACTCAAATATTCTTCAAATGCTATTTGATCCCGAAATTCTCTTTAGACTGTTGGATCGTAGTGGTTCATATGTCTTCATTAATTGCAATCAAGACTCTATAATAGAGCTTCACTTCTCTCATTAAGGTTTGTTTGGGGCAGTTCTAGCATATTAAAAAACAATTGTGAAACTGCTGAAGAATAATTTGATGTTACAAATAGTTGCGATGACTATTACATTTTTTTTGGGGTGAAAAGTAAGACCACATCAAGAAAGGCGTCACCGCATCTAGCCAAGACCGCGGAAAAATGCTCATGTTAGCGGGCAGCATTTTGAAAAGACAATCAAAATGCAGTTTATCCAAAAAGGCAAAAATATTGTGCGGTGTAGCACCGCCGCCGCATTGCTTCCCCAAATGGGTCCTAAAGCTTAGAGAAAGAACTGAAGTTCAACATCACTTCGCCATCAACTCTCGTCAACCACTAGTCGTCATCCGTAGCCGACCATCACATGTCGAGTGTAGCCGATCACTATCGACCACCACCCTCTTCCTACAACAAGTTAATCCGAGCACCGGCGTTATAACTCAAGAGACTGTGTAACTCTTCTCTACTTGCCGGGCAAAATATTGTAATTGTAATCACCAAGTTATAGTGGATATCTTCAACTTGACGAGGCTCCGTAGTTTTTTCCCATTAAAGATTTTCCACGTGAAAACCTGTGACCTCTCTACTATTTTTTTCTTTCATTTGAGTGATTTGAATCTTCATAAAACATTAAGACAATAATCTATCACCCTGTCACTATGAATTTTCTAGCAGACATTACATCTTAAATTTCATATTTAAATTATTGCATGGTAACGTGTAAATCGCGTTTAAAAAGCAAGTAATTATAGTTTTTTTCTTACAGCCATAACGTGAGCGTCCAAGGAAGATGACTAATGGCTATGAGAATTTTATATGCTTGCTTTTCTTTTTAAGAGCATTTTTAATGTTTGTGGACGGCATGAGTGATGACGATCATAGTGCTATTAATGCTGTTGCATGTCCGTTTCGACATTATTATCACTACCTCCTGTCCTTTTTCAGGGGTGTTTGGGTGTGCCGAGGATTTTCATCAAATAAGATTGAAGAAATTCAATAAATTCTGATACATAAAATCCACTATTTTTAAATTTAGAATAGTGTTCGATTCATTTAAAATTAAATTCTATTTAATGCGATTGGCATATTTGGCATGCTATTTTAGGATTTAACTGCTGAGGAATTGTCTGTCCACGGCATAATCATCTTCTTTCGCAAAACTTCATTTTTCACTCTCTCTGGCTTTGTCTCTATTGAATCTTCTTAGGACGTGTCTGTCGAATCTTCTTAGAACGTAGGTTGTTATATTATCCGTGGGTGTGTGCAACTTGACAAAAGACCCAAAATTGTGAGAAGAGTGTTGTAAGAAGAAAGTAAGATGGAAGAGATTCTTGGAGGAAACCTTGGGCTCTGATCTTAATTTTCGTTAATTAATTTTCTATTTAAATTTCCAATTAGGCTTTGCTTGTGTTCGGCTCGTTTACATTTTGAGCTCAAAAAGTGGGTTTGTGTTCGACTCGTTTGTTTAACGAGCCGAACACAAGCTGTTCACGAACAAAGAGTCGTTTTGACAACTCTAATCATGTAGTCATAAGATGTTAAAAGTTGGGGCAAGATTTAAAAATTGTTATTTATATTAAATTGAATCTAATTTAATAATTTTTATTCTATTTT